TACATATATATATATATATATATACATATATATATATACATATACATATATATATATACATATATATATATATATATACATATATATATATATATATATATATATATATATATATATATATATATATATATATATATGTATATATGTATATAGTATATGTATATATATATATGTAAATATGTATATGTACATAAGTACATATGTACATATGTACATATGTATATATGTAATATATGTATATATGTATATATGTATATATGTATATTTGTATATTTGTATATTTGTATATTTGTATATATGTATATATGTATATATGTATATATGTATATATGTTTATATGTATATATGTTTATGTGTATATATGTATATATATATATATATATATATATATATATATATATATATATATATATATATATATATACTTATATATATATACTTATATATATATACTTATATATACACATGTGTGTGTGTGTGTGTGTGTGTGTGTGTGTGTGTGTGTGTGTGTGTGTGTGTGTGTGTGTGTGTGTGTGTGTGTGTGTGTGTGTGTGTGTGCGCGTGTGCGTGTGTGTGTGTATATATATATATATATATATATATATATATATATATATATATATATATATATATATATATATATATATATATATATATTATGTATATGTATACTATTTTTGACTCAGAACAGAAATATTACTTTTCAGTGGTTAGACAGACATGAAATCAAGCGATTACATCCACACCTCTACACTGGAGACTTGGAAGGCGGAGTCTGGGTGCCAGATGATGCAGTGGCAAATCCTTCTGCAGTATGTTCGACTTTGGCAATGCTAGCTCAGATGCAAGGTCAGTTGTGTCTCAATATTAGAAATAGTTATATGTGTTTTAGGATTTCATTCAAGGATCTAATTGGGTATACAAATGATATAATGTACATATGCATATAATATATGTAAAAACTATCTGAAGCAAATGATGAGATCTGTAGGTAAAACTGCCTGTTTTATTTATATATATTTTTTTCATTTGAATGAATATATATATATATATATATATATATATATATATATATATATATATATATATATATATATATATATATATATATATATATATATATATACATATTTAGCTGTGAGCCACTCATTGGAATAAACATCAAAATCATGAAATAATCCTCAATATTTCCTTTCAGGAGCTTTCTACATGGAAGGATGTTCTGTTCTACGTGTTATAACAGATGAAATACCCCACTCACAAATTGTTCCAAAAGTTACACAGATTGTTACTTCTCATGGAAACATACATTGTGAATACTTTGTTAATGCATCTGGAATGGTGAGATGTTATATTTACTTTTACTTTTATTCTATAGTCTAAGTGTATATTGTAGAAAAAAAGGAAATTATAGTTATTTGCTAATAGTCTAACTTGTTACTACATACAGACCTTCATATTATTATAGAGTTCATTATTTAATCAATTTATTTGAGTCCACCCACTTTATGGGTCTTCTCAGTCATTTGCAAACACCTCCCCCAGATTCTTTAATTTTGCACCACATAATTACTATGTAAACCAAGGTATGATAGGCATCCGTGATGTTGTCACTAAGATAACTGTTTAGGAATAATATTTGAAGTGTGATTTTTAACAAAAGGCTACTATTTGCTGTTACAAATAATAACATCTAATGATTTTCATTTTTACCCCAGCAAAATAGGTTAAGTACAGAAGTATGCTATCACTTAGTCATTAAAAATTAATTGTTGTGGATGCTCTTCATAAGATGGAGTCAAGATATGTTATGAAGAAAATTGATTGAGTAAATAATGATTAACCACCTAAACTGCCATAACTAAAGAAGACATTATATAAAAAATAATTAGGAAGTATGGCATGAAAAAAAAGTTGACTTAAAGTTTCAGACTATGTAAAAGTAACTTTAAAGGACATCCATTTAATCTAACACAGTGTTCATGTACATAACAATTTTTGCACTACACATTTTGAGTTTGATACAACTATTTCTTTTTCAGATAGAATGCTAGGATATGATCCTTGCACATTTAATATATTTCTTTCTTGTCTTTATAGTGGGCCCGCAATTTAGGAGAAAAGAGTTCTCCTAAAGTTCGAGTTCCTGCTTTCCCAGCTGAGCATTTCTACCTACACACAGAGTAAGAAAGCCAGACAGGTTCACTTTTTAAGGCAGAAGTATTATGACAGTTTTGTATATTTACAGTTCACAAGTTAGTTGTTATTGCTGTTTACATGTTTGATATAATATTAAGAAAAATTAATAAGTACATTTTTCCCATTCTTTACAGGAAAGTAATGGAAGCATTAGATGCCTTACCAGTCGTCCGTGATTATGATTCACATACGTTCTGCCTGACACGTAATCAGGAGTTTGTGGTTGGAGGATTTGAAAAAGATGCAAAGCCAGCCTTTGGTTCTGGCATACCATGCAACTGGAGAGAGACGCTGGAAGGAGATGATGAGCATTTTAGTAAGTTTTTTAATGATTTAAGAGGGAAGTAAATATAGTAGTTATGAATCATTTTTTTTTTTAAGTTAACTTTAAATATTACATAAATAATATTACACAACATATCATAACAGAAATTCTGCACAGTATTTTAAACTTTTGTACATTAAGTCATTCACAATATAATGTCCAAAATTCATGTATTGATTTCATTATGTATTAAGGATTTTTTGTTTAATGGTTAGGAACTATTCGGGAGGCAGCAGAGCACAGATTTCCTGTTCTAAAAGAATCTCAGTACAAGCCTCTTATCAATGCTCCTGATAACTTTACTCCTGATGGAAAATGGATTCTAGGAGAAACACCTGAGGTTAGTCATTTAATTTGATGTATGTGCATGGTATTTATTAGAAACAATGAGTTCGAATTGTTAGCTAGAAATTAATGGTACCAAAATATTTATGCCCTTGAAGGGATAGTATCTTGTTTATTTTATCGGTATTGATATATAATAAGATAGTTTAAAAAAACAGTGCAATTACTTATTTTACATTATTTTCTATAATACTATAACTGTACATATGCTTGCATATATGTTTGTTTGATTATGTGTGAATGAGATTTAGAGAAATTCTAAATACATATCCTTTTATTTTCCAGATTGACAATTATTTTGTAGCAGTAGGAATGAATGGTAACAGCTTACAAGGTGCAGGTGGGGCAGGCCAAGCTATAGCTGAATGGATAATGTATGGCTCATTATCCAAGGAGATGTTGCCATTTGATGTTAGACGCTTTGTTGATCTTCACAATAACAGACGTTACCTCAAGGAGAGGACCCGTGAAGTTGTTGGGAGGTTAGTGATAAGCGGAAAAGTTATATTGTTACCAAAGGATGTAACGTCATGATTGGAAATAAGAAAAAGTTTTAATCTTTCTGGAGAACATAACTGTCATTGCACATTATACAATCAGAGATTTTGAATTTTGATTGTTTCTGTGCTTCTTTTTACAGGCACTATGATATCTTATACCCTGGCCAGTGTGAATATAAATATGCCAGAAAGCTGAGATGTTCCCCAATAAATAGTGAGCAAGAAGCACGAGGCGCAGTTTTTGGGACACGAATGGGATTTGAACGTCCTCTCTATTTTGATATTACACATAAGAGTAAGTGAAGTACAAAATGGTTGTAGATCTATGCCAGTTGTTTTATTATTCATAATTTTACTATATTTTCTAAGATAGTAATCATATTGAAACTGCAGAATATACATTGCTAAGGAACTGTATATGCTGATAATTGGCTAATTTGAGCTGGTACATTTTGTTGTATTTTGGTATATATTAGTTTTTGATGTATTTATTTTGTAACATACAGTAGTACCTATGTTTTCAGGATATTTTCCTGGAAACCTAGAATGATTTTGACACGAGTTGAAAAACAGCTTACATTTTTAATCATGTTCAATTATCCTATATTTCTATTGTATGAAAACTAATGATATATATACTGGTATTTTATTAGTGTACTTAAATGAGGAATCAAAGAAGAAGAAGAAATTTGTATAAATTGGAATAGCTGTTACTCATGTGTATATATTTTTTGACTCATTATCCTGTATTATTACTATAAACTTCTTTTTAAGAATGGAATATTCTATACAGGTTTAGAAATTCTTTTCTGTTGAAATATTTCCTACATAGGGAAAGGAAGGTAATTGCCGTTTGAGAGAAGTAAGTTTTCTCTTAGGTATAGACTCTGGATTGTTCTAGTTAGTTAGATATATATTTACTATTGATTCACTATTCATGCATACCTTTATTATAGACCAGTAATCAAGACCTGATTTTTCCAACACTGAGTTAAAGCAGTCTGGAAATTTTATCCCCTAAAGTCCTATTCACCATGACTGTGGCTAACTGCAGAATTTGCATATAGTCATATTCACCACAATTGTGGCAGGTCTGTCAAAAAAAAAATCTGCGGTCTTTTTGTTGTGAATGAAATGTATGTAATGACCACTAATATATTGGCAGTATCATCTTGCATACCCTCACTACCCTTGAAAGCCCTCCTCTTATTTTCCTGCCTCTTTCTTCCTGTGATTGAAACATGGTGTGAAGTAGAATTCTAGTACTCCCTGGCATATTTCTTCTAGCAAATCCTAGAAGTTTCCCTCTATCCCACCTGCCACACACCATAATATTATGTATCACAGTTACCTCCTGGTAGATCATTGTCTTTTTACTATTAATTCATCTATATACTTAAAAATATGACTAAATACAAATATTGCGTTATATGCATTTTTTCTTTATTGAGTTATGTGAATATTCATTCTATTTTTTCCCCATTTTCATTCACACTCTAGTTGTAACTGTGATAACCTTTTACATTTCCTGCTCTACTGAGATAAAACAGTTAAACAGATGTTCTGGTATGTAAAACTGAGCTCTTCAAATTCCTGGAACTAAAAAAGTCATTTTGTGGTAGGTTGGATAG